ATTTCTTTATGTTTATCCCTGGCCTGTGCACTAAAGGGAATGAATCCTCTGCCTCTAAAATCAAAAGGAGTCTAGAGCTACAGGTTGGTACCCATGACAGAGATACAGTTTCTCACTAACATGTTCCGCTGGGCATAGAACAAAAGAAGTATCGGATGCTGCCACAGTAAGAACCTCTCTCTTTAACTCACAAAGGAGAGCTAGAAGAAAACTGCTGATAAATGTCAACAAGCAACAGAGTCGTCCTTAGAGTTTCATGGACCTGATGACTTAAAACCACTGCTAAGACTGGCTGATCAACCTGTTAGATAACTATCTGTAATGTGACATGTTTTGTTTTTTAACATCAGTTATTTGAAATAAAAGTTCGTGTTATGCTATAAAAGTTACTGAACTATTAGATAGTTTAAAAAGCAACTGTGAAAAAATGAAAGCCTATGTCACAATTTAAATTCTCAACTTGTCTCAGCAAACTTCCTGATTCATTAATAACAGTGTTTGGCAACAGCAAAGAATGAGGTCTTTCTTTCCCTCAAGTATTTGGAAACTGTATTCACTTTTAGACCACTCATTCATGAATAGTTCATCTCATAGATATAATTTGGTATATTTTCCAGTTAACTCTGTTTAATTATATTTTGATTCAAAAAATACCTGACCGTTAATCTAGTCATTAACTAGCAACTGCTAACAGTAATCCCCTCTCCTCTTTCCCGTGGGTGGCCTCAGACTGAGAGGGATAGATGGGAGCCAATACTGAGGGTGGGCAATAGTCCAGTGGTTAATTGTTGCCTAGACTCTTGGCTCAACTCTTCAGGCATGACATAGAACTTTTCTTTATAACATGTTTCTTCAAACTATACTGTATCTTTTTTTCCTTTTTTTTTTTTGAGTATACAGAGTATGAGGAAGGAATGATAAAAGTAAATAAATAATGACCACACACATCGCCTATCATATACTTTAGCAATTTGTAAATTACCCCATGGGCTAAGGATACAGCTCCATGGTGGAGCACTTGCCTAGCGTGTGCCGGTAGTGGGTTTAATCCTCATTACAAAAAAAACCAAATCAACCACCTCCCCTGCAAAACCCCACCTAAGTCATCCCTTATTAGACAACCTCATTGTAAGTAGTTAATACAACTTATTAAGTCACCAAGACGTTATATTTGCTGCCTTATTCTTGTACTTTGTCACACATTCATATTCTAGGAGAAATCATTACTTTAGAATCATTACTTCTAAATATTAACTAGTTGTTCTTGACAGTAGAGACTAGGAAACCGTACTATGAATTAAAAGATGTAATGGCACTAAATTGATCACTCAATATACACGTATAGAATACTTGCCATGTAGCAGATACTGATGAAGAGGCCTAACTTAACATCAGTGCAGCCATGACAGGCTGCAGACTAACAATACTGGGACTAGGCCTCACCATTACAATAACCAGGGAAAGCCACAAACTGTACCTTGAGGGGGACCAATCAGAATTGAGACAAGTACTAAATGCTCTAGAACATTAAGGATAGCTTACATAATCTGTATATAGGCTCCAGTTTTCTTGCAGCAACACCAGTACCAATCACTGACAAAACTCCTGTTACCCCACTCCTGCCCAGTCAGGAGTTCAACCACCATCTGAACCAGAATTCCCTACCAGCCTCTCCCACCCCCATCCTTTACTCCTTAAAAACTCTGCTTCATCTGAGCTCGAGGCTCTCCCTCATCCAACCGCTGTGTCAGAACGGACGGAGAGCCCAAGCTAGAGCTTGCAGTAAAGGCTCTTTGCTTTTGCATACGAACTTGGTACTCCTGGTGGTCTTTTGTATGTGTGTGTGGGGGGGCTCATGACACGGGCATAACACTGATAAACACTAAATCTAAAGAGGCACTCTAAACTATGCTCAAAAATAAGGGAGTAGGCATTATTATTTGTTGTTGTTTTTATTAGAATGTGTCTGTCTGGAAGCTATGGCTGTAGCTATCTGCAGGGTTCTTTTTTTTTTTCTTCCTTTTTTTAAGGTTTATTTATTATGTATACAGTGTTCTGCCTGCATGCCTGCATGCCAGAAGAGAGAACCAGATGTCACCAGATCTCATTGTGAGCCACCATGTGGCTGCTGAGAGTTGAACTCAGGACCTCTGGAAGAACAGCCAGTGCTCTTAACTGCTGAGCCATCTCTCCAGCCCTCTGCAGAGTTCTTATGTAGTATGTGTGAGGCCCTGAGTTTGCTCACAAAACATGAGATGAGTTAAACCAAAATGAGTTTTTCTCATTTTTCTATGGAGAAGTAGAAAGATGGGCTGAACAAAATTAGAGGCAGAATTTATATGATCCTTGAATAACAGCATAGCTCACCAGAGAAAAACGAGCTTACAGCCTTGTTTTGTTATCTCACTTGACCTCTTTGTGCCTATATGTTACTTCCCAGCTTCCCAGCTTCATCTTCCTTTAAATTCCCCCTCCTACCAAGTTTCTAAAAAGGTTTACACTGTAAAACTACCATGTAGCAGGTTTCTAACAATGTAGATATCAACATTATGCACCCTTAAGGAATAATAAAGTAATCTACTATGGGAAAAAAGGAGCCAGAGTCTAGAGAGATGGCTTAGTAGTTATGAGCACTTATTCCTGCAGAGTGCCTAGGTTGGATTCCCAGCACCCACACAGTGACTCATAACCTTGTAGATTCCAGTTCCAGGGTATCCCATGTGCTCTTCTGACCTCCACAGGCACCAAGCATATACATGGTGCACTCGATACACTTAAAAGAAGAAAAAAAAAATTTTTAAAGAAAAAAAAAAGATCAAACAGAGATATGAGTGTGTGGGGGTGGGGTGGGGTGGGGGTTGGATGTAAAGAGGGGACAAGCAATTGCTTTATGGTCCTGAAGAGCCTCAGGATTTGTTTAGTTTCCTTATCCCATGATTTGTCAAATGAGCTACTTTCCTCATTCTGAGAGAATGGGAAACTCTACAAAGTCTCTGAAGATCTGGAATTTAAATTCAAGCCCCTTTCTAAAGAAATTCCATTTGCAAGGCACTGTATGAAAATAGTATTTAGAAATGTGGTTTCTCGAGTGCAACTTGGCCAAGAACCAACCCCTGACTAGCTATAAATTTAACCACTTAAGATGAGTAGTGGTTTACTTTCTGGGGACTTTTTAGAATTAGTAAATGCACAGCCTTCTTTGTGTCCTAGCTCAATATTTAATCACTTCTAAGTCAAGATGCCATTCTTAGGAATTACTAAATGTTTTGCTGGATTTAAAGCCCAATTTTTTCTCTCTCTAATCTTCTGTGGAAGTAAAAATAACTGGCCATTCTTTTATATATATATATATATAATATAGTGCTTTATATATATTATATATATATATATTATAGGTCTGGTAAAATTAAAGGTTCTTGTTGCACTCTTTTTTTTTCAGGGTTACACTAGGAGCCCCAGGCCTTCGGTGCTATTTTAATGCTAATGCTGACAGATAAACACAGCTCATTTAGTGCTGGAACAATTTCTCTACTGTTCAGAGAGAATTGAAAGTCTAAGCAAAATCTCCAATCTCCAAATGTCTTTATTAAACCAAAGACATTGGTTATTTAGAAACTTATTGGAGAAATTACTTTCTCAGCTGAGTTATTTGGGGGACTAAGGTCTTGGATTGCGCATAAACAACCTGGTCACTCTCCTTTTCTGTGTTAATAACATTTCCATATGAACCCAAGGAACTGAATAATGAAAGCTCTTTTGCTTAGAGAGTGATTTAGAAATTCCCATTTACCTTGGTTGAACAACGTTGGTTGCACAATGCATCAAACCTTTCTGGAAGTACTTGGTTTGAGGCACTTGAAAGGGACCTGACAATCATTGGTCAGGCTGGGTAAAGTGTGAATGCTGAGTGTGAGATACACTCACTGACAGGCAGTCTTACAGGCGTGTGGGGTTGGCAAGACTAGCTGTGCCTGGGCACATCTGGGGAGTCCCCTCGCTGGTGCGGCTTTTAAGATCATCTTTCATTCGAGGACTTCAAGACCTATCACCAGGAGAGCATCTCTCGAAGGGTAAGAAGCCATTTTCACACTGCCTCGAAAAGGAATGGGATCCCCGCAAGGCGAAAATGGTCCTTTATGGTGAGGGGAGCCTTCATTTGGCACTTCCTTCGACGCCCTAAGTCCCTCTCCCTGCTGGTAGGCCACACACATCTGGCTTCTTGATTCTGGACGCCCTAGCTCTCCTCAAACCAACGGTGGGGCAGGGCCGTCAGGAGCCACTGAGGACGCGGTGATGGGGAGCTCAGAATCCAGCGGCTAGGGTTTCCTCAACGGGCCAATTTGGGTGGCGTGCAAACACAACTACACGCTGCGGTTCTCTCACACGCTCGCGGCATCTGCATGAAGCTGCCACTGCCAAAGAGCCCTGCCCGGCCGCGATCCGCCTGCCGCGCAGCTCCCACGCGAGGGATTCCCGCGTTCGCCTGTGCGCCCGCCTCCCTCTTGCCCCGCACGCCCCGCCCCCTGCCACCTCCGCGCGTCTCATTGGCCAGGCCCTGCGCAAACTTCGGCTCCTGTCTGGCGGCTGCGCCTGTCGCTCTGAACGGTAGAGACATTTCCGCATTGGGGGGATGGGGGTGGCTGCTCCGACCGGAGGGGGAGGGGAGGCGTGTGCGGAAAGTGGGGGCTCCGGTGTCGGGAGGCGGCGGCCGGGCGGACACGGGCTGCGAGCGCTGGCGCCGGGCTCCGGGTGCTTGCGTGTGACGGGAGCGGAGAGGAGGCCGCCGCAGCCGCCCTCGCGCAGCCTGCGAGACTCGATCCCGGGCCTCCAACTTCCGAGCCGCCGGAGGGAGAGGAAGGTGGGTGTCACCGAAGGGGCGGGCGGGCGTGCGTGCGGGAGGGCTCCGGGCGACCTCCGTGGGGGGCCCTGCTCGGAAAGGCGTGGCGGGAGGCCGAACGTGGGGCGTGGAAGAGTGAGGGGCGGGAGGGCCGAGGGCGTGCCGAGAAGGGCCAGGCCTCCCGGGGGGTCCCGGAGGCCGGTCCCCGGGGGAAGGACGAGCTGGGCCTCGGCGTCCCCCCTCCCCGGGCCCCCCGTGGCGAGCCGCTGCGTGTGGGAGGCCGGGACACCCGAGGCCGCGGCCAGCTGTCTGCCGGGGTGCGGAATTCGCAGCGCCCGCCGCCGAGTCCGGGCTATTTATGGGCTGGAGAAAAGGTTGCGCTGCCCCTTCGCCGGCCTCCCCGCCTCCCGAGCGGCGCCGGGCGCCTGCAGCTCGCGGCTGGACGGCGGCTGGCTGGGGGCCGCGGGGTGCGGCCGGGGGCCTGCGGCAGTCCTGCCCTAGAGGGCGTGGAGACCGGGCGGGGTGGGGGGCGGTGAAAAAGCCGCTCTAGGTCCGCCTCTTCATTGATGAAATTTAAGTTCGTGTGGTTTTACCTTTTCCGGAGTCTCCAGTCTGGCCCCCAGTGGTGTCCGGATCGCAGAGTAGCCCGGAGCTCCTAGGCTGACTCGGTCCCACCAAGTTTCCGTCTTCTGGATTTTTTTTTTTTTAAAGGCCAGTTTTTGATCGTTTTTGTACGAATACTTAAGTAGCTAAACATCGGAGGAGAAAACACATCGGTTGTTGCCGGGAAGGACGAGAGACCTTCCTTATAACGCAACTCCAAGACATTGAAAATTATAAACCAGATTATTTTTTTTTAATAAAACCCCAAAATGTCGAGATTTGTGCAAGGTAAGACATTTTGCTTCTTATCTCTTGACTGCTTCGTCCGAATTTGGGTACTGGTAGTCTCCAGAGTAGTGGGCAGTTTGGAACTGTAAATGTTCACTTGTGATGCCGTTTGCCAAACCTTTTTGGTTAAATTGGTATCTGAGCTGCTTTGCGCCGCTTGCTGGGTTGGTGTTTCATGTACGTGTATTCACGCCCCTGTGCCCTGCAGGGGTTCTGCCCCCCTAAAATCAGGTTTAATAGTATTCTGACTTCGCGGATAATGACCGCAGTAATTAAAACAGATTTTGACTGCTGATTGATTCTTGTTCCCTTCTTGTGGTCTGTGATAAGTTATCATTATGGAGAAAGGAAACCCAGAGGCTAGGGGCAGGCAGATGGGTTTGCCAAGACTACTGAGGAAGCTATACCGTTCTCCACTTCTACTCTGTGTGTACGTGGATTGAGTCTCAGATTCCTGTATTGCGAAATCAGGAGTAGTTCTGGAGTAGTACTGGAGGTCATTTCAGTCAGAGAAATGACTTTGCTGCATTGCTGTTTGCTTTTGTCTTTTCTTTTTAAAAGTATTAAAAGATTATGATTTCTTTACATTGAAAATTACCATCTAAATTCTGTGTGTAAAGAAAGGGTTTAGCAAATACCTATCAGCTAGGCTGTGTAAGTGTGTGTGGTATACACGTTGCAATTGGTGCTGCCTTAAACAACTTCTTCTAACTTTATAGAATTTGCCTTTTGATATGTAAGTAACTCTTTTTCCTTCCAGACCCCAGGGTGTGATAGCTTCAGCCATCTTGCTTAACACAGCTAGTAAAGTTTGCGACCACTTAATGTGATTCTCAGTAATGGTAGACGTACCTTTTTTTTTTTTTTTTCTTCTTTCTTTTCTTAGTTATGCTAGTGATGTCCATCATTTGACCCTGGGAATGAAAATGCCCTACTGAGTTGTGCCTCACTTTATTAACTCTTCCCAAATTTTGTATACTAGATTAAAAGAATCTGACTGCCTGCAATATTATGGAAACAGATGAGACCCTTATGCCTGCCTGCCATCACCACTAAGCTCAGAAATGTCACTTTGTCATTATGTTTTGAAGTTCACGATATGCTTTATATGTGGCTAGAGGTGCTTCTTATCTTCTAACTTAATAAATGTCTTAAGATTAGTAAGGCAGAGGTAGCCTAGAAGTTTACTGGTCTCGTAAGTACCATAAAGCCAGCGTTTTGTAAGAATACGCTAGAGAAAAGCAAACAGATCGCTTCTCCTAGGAATTTAAAAAGTATTAAACTCAAGATATTCCATGTAGTTAGTATTTTTAGGATAGCTTACAGAGTTGATGCACATTTACAGTTTTTGCTGTTGAGGCGATCTTCAGATTTCTAAATTAAGTATACCTAAGTGCCTGTGGACATCTGTCTTTTTACTTTTTTATCCACTTTTTAAAAGCCTGTTATTTTGAAATACTTCTACATTTTTCAAAATGTTGCACAGTTAAATTAGGAAATTAACATAGTTGCATTAACTAAACCGTAAACTCAACTCTGATTCCTGTTCCCATGATGCAACCCAAGACACCACGTTTGATTTATTTGCTAACCACTTTTCTTTGAGGTAGTAGTTTTTCTTTTAAACAGCAATTTTACCCAAAAAAATGACACTCGAAATGTTTTTAACTCTATCATGCTGTTTCTCATTGTTTAATTTTTGTATTTTAAGTAGGAACCCTCTATGTGTTAACTTTGGCTACTGTTAGGAATGATAAAACTAATTGGCTAATTTCAGAGTTGTCTACACACATCAGTTTTCAAGTATAAAAGTTGGAAAATTCTGTTTTTCAGGTTTTTTTTTTTTTTTTAAAGCAATTCAGTTCTTTGACCCCCTCCTCCCAGAAGTTACTGATGTTTCCTTCTACTCACTGGAACTCTGCTTATGCTGTTTCATAAGGAACGTGGTAATGAATGTTAGGGCTTCATGTATTGTCTCATTTAAGAAGAGCCTCAAGAAGTCCTTTTATCATGACTTTACAGCTTATCAAAGTTATATCTTGTGCAAAGATGAGCTACTAGGAAGCCTCAAATACATGAGTTGTTTAAAACTTCTGTCCTTTCCAAAACCTTTTGTTGCTTCTTAAATTAAAGATTTTATGGGGCTGGAGAGATGGCTCAGAGGTTAGGAGCACTGGACCTGGGTTCAATTCCCAGCACCCACATGGCAGCTCACAAGTGTCTATACCTCCAGTTCTAGGAGATCTGGCACCCTCACACAGACATACATGTAGACAAAGCAACAGTGCACATAAAATAAAAATTAATTAATTAAAAAAATTTTAGGAATGGCCTATTCTCCAAGTAGACTACCATTTCCTGTTGACAAAGATAATATATCCCTGGGGAAAATACAGTTTCTTGAAATTAGATATTCTGAAAAAATTTGTCACAGGCAGCAAATGCCCACAACCTAAAATGTCCCACATGCTTTTTAAATAGGTGAGCCTATCCTATGTTTTTGGTGGTAGTTTTTTATAACATACCCTAAATTGCATAAATACTGGGAAAGATGAAAGGTCATGGACTTAGATTTGACTCCTGTTACTGAAAGGTGATTTTAGACACTTTTCTGAACCTATGTAAAATTTGGATATTGGTGGTGCACACTCTCAGCCCCTGCACTCAGGAGGCAGAGGCAAGTGGATCCTTGTAAGTTTGAGGCCAGCCTGGTATACAAAGTGAGTTCCAGGACAGTCAGGGCTGTTAAACAGATAAACTCTGTCTCAGGGGAAAATAAAAAACAAAAACCTCAAACAACAACAAAGAAATTTGGATATTGGACTAGGAGTATAGTTGAGTGATCAAGCTGGTGCTTAGCATGGGTGAGGTATTGGATTCAGTCTCCTGTCCCCACCTCCTCCACTGGGTATTAGTGCTTATGTCTCAGGGCTATTGAGAACCTGAAATAGGGTGTTATGTTAATTGACTGAGCTAGGTAAGTAGTGTGTGGCCAGTAACTTTAATAAAATAATGATGGCTTTTCACATAGCATTCTTACCTGACATGCTAGCAACAGAAATATAGATAGACAGTTCTGGATTTTCATATTCCAGATTTAATATTCAGGTCTGGTTACTTGAAAGTTGTACATTTAAAAGAAAAATACTAAACCTATACAGGGCCTGAAGGGGAAGGCAGGGCAGGGTAAAGCTTGGATATTATAGGGGTAAATACAAGTTACATTTTAAAAGTTTAGTTTAAACATTTTTTTTCCTTGAATGCTCATGGTATGCATTGAATTATATGGATTTCCCTTAAGGTACATACTCGGGGTTCAGTAGATCAGAGATCAGCGTGTTATGAACTATTCATTGAGAATGCACATCTTGGATGATATGGAACATAGGGATGCTACACTTGACTGGACTTCAAATCTAAGCACTACTTTCTGTTGTTGTTGTTGTTGTTGTTGTTTTTCGAGAGAGTTTCTCTGTGTAGATTTGGAACCTGTCCTGGAACTCGCTCGGTAGACCAGGCTGACCTCAAACTCATATAGTTCCGCCTGCCTCTGCCTCCCAAGTGCTGAGATTCAAGGTGTGCGCCACCACTGCCGGGCTAAGCACTACTTTTTATAAGAAAACTAGGTATCTTCTTCCTCAGGCACTTAGACCATAAGAACTTAGTGGGAAGTTTCCAGTTAATAAAAACACTTAATACTAATACAGCAGTGAGTTCTCCATATGTAATTACTGGGCCAATAACAGCCTAAGTTTCTTTGCATATCTGTGTTCTTCAGCTGCTAAGTGGTACTTTCTTGTAGGGTAATGCTTTTAGAGCCGGAAGCGTATCAAGCTGCTGTATTCTGCCTGTGAAACTGCTTGTCTAGCAGCCCCACTTTTCTAAATAAGTGAATACTACCTCTTTCCTGCCTGTCACATTTGGAGGTAGTAGCATCAGCAGTTGTGGGGTTTTGCTGGGTTTGTCAACAGATGCCATTTGGAATTTTCTTTTTGAAAAGTTCTGAGAACTGTCTCCATTAATGTTTGGAGACTTATAAATGGTAAAGAGACTGAGGTTGAATAGCCAGCCAGCCAAGGCTAGTTTATATGCTTAAAACTGTGATTTTAGAAGTATTTTTACGACTGTGAATATGCCATTGTCTATCTAAGCTAGGTAAAAATGTCCTTTAGTCTTAAAAATTGAAGTATATTTCAGGGAAACCCATATAAATTCATCTGTATTGCTTAAAAATATCTGTGGCCTGTCAGCATTTCCATTTGTTGTAAGTTTTTGACTGTTGGTGATTCCTGTTGGGTAGATGGCAGGGGGTCAGCAAAGATTGCTGAGCTAATTTTAACTGAAGGGTCTCAGATGAGCACAAGGGTGGCTTGGTTGTCAAGGTCAAGCTTTGGCCTGGTTCTTCTCACATCCTAAAACCTCTTGCTTATCACTGAAGTGACTAAGATATTTTTGTACCCAGGGGATTGTGGAATGAGTTAAGTCAGGAGTCGTGACAATGGAGTGTGGGCTAAAGCACACTCCTGAAAGCTGGAGGTCAGATGGGCTATGTTGCTAGAGGGTCGGGGTGGGAACTGAGTTCAAGTCCGTCATAGTTGTAAATATGTGGGGAACTCAAAATGAAGAATTGGTCTGACGAAGCTCTACTGTCATGTTGTACTTTGTAATCTCTGTGGTGAAATTCCCTTACTGAACCCTTCTTCTAAGTGTAATTGATGATTTTCATTTGTGAAGGACTACTGAAGAAAAAAATTGACAAAGAATATTAGAGAGATAAATATTAATGGGTACATTTCTTGGAAGTGTTGTTTCAGAATTCTGAAGAGACATCAAAAGTTTCTGTAATAGAGTTTTTCTTATAGTAGCGTGTCACAGAAACCAATGTACATGTGCATGTGTTGTTTCTTCAGAGATGAATTATAGCCAACTTAAAATAATGAGAGAACTTGTGATAGGAATACAAACTGGCCTGATAATACAAATGTTTTATATAGAAGAAC